AGTTTGCTGTGTGGGCAATTTTTCCGGCAAGCAGTGCTGCTTGGGTTGTGTTTTTATGTGAGCCAGCCATCCATAGTGATCACGTAGTTGGCACTTTCTTTCTCTGCTTGTAGTTGGTGGAAACAGAACACCTGATGCAGCATAGCATTGCTGGTACCTTCGCAAACTCCTCAAGTTTTTCAGCCATTTGTAGTAATCTTGCAGAACACATTTCCCGCCCTTTCTCGCAGTTTGCTGTTTGTAGAATTTTTCCAGCAGGCACTGCCGCACTAGTTGTATTTTGATGTGAGACAACCATCCATAGTGATCACGTAGTTGGCACTTTCTTTCTCTGCTTGTAGTTGGTGGAAACAGAACATCCGATGTAGCATGGCATTGCTGGTACCTTCGTAAACTCCCCAAGTTTCTCAGCCATTTGTAGTAATCTTGCATTACACATTCCCCACCCTTCTTCACGGTTTGCTGGTTGTAGAATTTTTCCAGCAGGCACTGCCGCACTGGTTGTATTTTGATGTGAGACAACCATCTATAGTGATCATGTAGTTGGCACTTTCTTACTCTGCTTGTAGTTCGTGGCAACAGAACATCTGGTGCAGCATCACATCGCTGATACTTGCACAAACTCCTCAAGTTTCTAAGCCATTTGTAGTAATCATGCAATAAACACTTTCTGCCTTCTTTTTTCACAGTTTGCATTGTGGGAAATTTTTCCGGCAAGCAGTGCTGCATGGGTTGTGTTTTTATGTGAGCCAGCCATCCATAGTGATCACGTAGTTGGCACTTTCTTTCTCTGCTTGTAGTTGGTGGAAACAGAACACCCGATGCAGCACAGCATTGCTGGTACCTTCGCAGACTCCTCAAGTTTCTCAGCCATTTGTAGTAATCTTGCAGAACACATTTCCCGCCCTTTCTCGCAGTTTGCTGTTTGTAGAATTTTTCCAGCAGGCACTGCCGCACTGGTTGTATTTTGATGTGAGACAACCATCCATAGTGATCACGTAGTTGGCACTTTCTTTCTCTGCTTGTAGTTGGTGGAAACAGAACATCCGATGCAGCACAGCATTGCTGGTACCTTCGCAAACTCCTCAAGTTTCTCAGCCATTTGTAGTAATCTTGCAGAACACATTTCCCGCCCTTTCTCGCAGTTTGCTGTTTGTAGCATTTTTCCAGCAAGCACTGCCGCACTGGTTGTATTTTGATATGAGACAACCATCCATAGTGATCACATAGTTGGCACTTTCTTACTCTGCTTGTAGTTGGTGGAAACAGAACATCCGATGCAGCACAGCATTGCTGGTACCTTCGCAAACTCCTCAAGTTTCTAAGCCACTTGTAGTAATCTTGTAATAAACACTTTCTGCTTTCTTTTTTCACAGTTTGCAGTGTGGGCAATTTTTCCGGCAAGCACCGCTGCATGGGTTGAGTTTTAATGTGAGCCAGCCATCCATAGTAATCGCGTAGTTGGCACTTTCTTTCTCTGCTTGTAGTTGGTGGTAACAGATCAGCCGATGCAGCATAGCATAGTTGGTGCCTTTGCAAACTTCTCAAGTTTCTGATCCACTTGTAGTAATCTTGCATTACACATTTCCCGCCCTTTCTCACAGTTTGCTGTTTGTAGCATTTTTCCAGCAAGAACTGCCGCACTGGTTGTATTTTGATATGAGACAACCATCCATAGTGATCACATAGTTGGCACTTTCTTACTCTGCTTGTAGTTGGCGGCAGGGAAACAAATTGTGCAGGAAAACATTGCCGATATTTCTTTAAGTTTTTGAGCCAAGAGTAGCGATGTTGCAGTTGACACTTTCTCCTGTGCGGTACAGTCAGAGTTGTGATCGATTTCTTGGCCCTGCATTTCGGCAAGGAGAGTCTAGTCAGGGGGAACAACCAGTGGTGGTAGGATTGAAGTCTGCACTTTCCAAGTCTGCCTTTCAACAGTGGATGGGGATGTTCTTTAACCAAATGCTTTTGACAGTAACCATCTGATCTCCGTAGCCATGTGTGGTAATCTTGCACCAGACACCTGCCTGTCTGCAGATTAAGTTGAGAGTTGGTTTTCTTTAGTGAACACTTTGGTAATTTTTGACTGTTAGAGGGTTGCAGCCAATAATGGTAGTCGTGTGGCAGGCACTGTCTTTTACTCCTAGATCCAGGTGGTTTGGGATTCTCTTTCACAGACCGATCTTTCAGAGGTATGAGGCAGGTTCCCCTGTTAGTAGTTGCAAACGGCCAACGATATCGCATCCTGAGGTTGCACTTTTGACTCTTGACTCTTCTAAGCTTTCTTTTTTTACTTTCTGCCAATCCCAGCTTATTCTCTTGATCTGCTGTTGGACACCAGTTTTGAGTCCGTCTCTTGGCATTAAACCTCAACCAATCGTAGTAATCACAAGGCCGACACTTCTGTCTTGTTTTTCTCGATGTAGTGGAAGTTCTTCTATTACACATGGGGTTGGAATGTTTCAGCCAGTATCCATTTAGCCATTGGTGACGTACCGGTACACGAAGGTAGCATTTCCTGTTTTTGGCTTTGGTAAGTTCCAACGGACCATCCTCTGCATGTGATACAATGTATGCATTAGTATGATTTTGACCCAAACTGAGAAAATGAAAATGTGCTTTCATTTGACACAATCTTTTCTCCTTAACATCCGATTGATATTTGTTTGAGCTGTTGACAACAGAGGATACTACAGGACATTCTTGCTGTTCCTTGCTGAAGTAGAGAAAGGAGTAGCGTTCTTCTAAGACGCAGATTGACCTCTCATTCTTGTCAGTTAGAGTGATGTTAGACAGACACACATGACTCATGCTGAACAACTTCAGGAATGGGTAATAATCACTCACAAAACACAAGCCGCTAGTACTAACACTTTTAACACCCAGTACTGGTCTCAACAAACATGCATCAAGAGCATGCAACGATCTCAGGAAATCGTAACGTTCTGTCAGTTTACATTGCTCGATGCTCTGGGTTGCGGTCAAATCTTTTGGGGTATGCTCCGTCTCAAGAAAATAATGATTTGAGTCAGAAATGGGGGCATATGTGAATGGTTTTACTGAGTAAGGTGCTCTGCCTATGTGCAATGGCACATAGTTGTTTCCAAGATCTTTATCTTCATTAGTTTTGTTATTGTTATTCAAAACTTTATCTTCATCAAAACACTTATTCATACTTTCAAACTCAAATACGTCCACGAGTACATGGGATAGAGTCAATGATTGTAAGGATCCAGTAGGACCTGATGCATCATCAGCTAACGCAACCTCTCTGTCTTTGTCTTCAACCTCCTTGTGACCTTTGACCCGTGTGTCCTCATCCTCACACTTTGCAATCTTGTCATCAACATCAGCAAACCGTTCTTCAGTGTTGGAGAGAGCATCATTTCCCATGCACTGACTTAAGCTAATTCCGATGAGAATCAAGAAATCTTGAAGAGGGTTCTGCGAAGGATGGCATCTCATCAAGGATGTTGATTCTGTCCTGCCCAGTACCTGCTCTTCGGACTCTTCTGCATCAACCTTTGAGTAACCATCAACCAAAATGTGGCAAGTTTCATTGGAGTAAAGGTCGTCTCCAAAACACTTCTCAAACTTTGGAGATGTCTGAACAACTGAGATCAGTGAACTCTGTAGCCAACTTTGAAGTGGACAAATATTGGATATTTTGTTCTCTTCATCAACTGTGGAATCATCCAATGTCGGACACTGGCCGAAATCAGAATGTCTTTCCCTTGCCAGCCAGAAAGGGTGTCTGTCACTTTGATCTCTATCGAGCCAACCAACATTGTCAACTGCGTTAAGTAGTCTGGCGCCTTGCTGATCTTGCCATGCAGTTGGCACTGTATGGGTTTGTGCTTCCATTCCACTTTGGTCAAGCAATAGTGGACCTGTTTTAGTTTGTAGTTAATAAACACAAAACAAAATTAAACATCCTTATTAGAACACATGGATTTACAAGTAAGATCAAATAATGTCCTAGTTCAAATTATGATGTCATTTACTGGTACATGTACCGCTAGATATCTTTATGTCATCTTGCCATTTTGATATTAAAAAAATCAGTGATGGGCAAATACCCCGGTACGTGTAACTTATCATTCAATACAATAAAAACAGACCAATGAATTGAACCAATACCTGTTTCAGAGGGGAAAAAAATAAACATTCAAAGCAGATGGTGAAAATGAGGAGGTACAACTATATGTCATAAATTATAATTTGACTCTCCTAGTCTTCTGCACTTCACAACCCTTCTAGTTCTGCAGAACCACTTTTGCTCACAGAGTTAGAATCCACACTTCAATTTCCTTTTGAGGTAATCTTCTGTGGAGTATGGAGAACACTTCAAATCCCTTAACAATTTCTTTGTGTGGTTAAGCTCAGATCAAGCAGGCAGATTCGGTAACACTTAACCGCTCTCAGCAGTGCTGTTTTTTTGTGCAGTGACTCTCTGTGTGACATGGTTACTTTAACAGTTCGTATCCCTTCACTTGAAATTGACCTGCTGGGTTTTGTAGGGTTTAACATACATGTATATTGCTCTGAAAATTAAATTCCCACTAAGAGGGTTAAAACGACACAGGGCTATCTTGCTTGATAGTTTAAAATTCCCCATGTAAAGTATTTTTTTAACAAAAACATTTACAGCATTCCTGGTATGTTTCTAGAATTTTGAAGGAAAACATGTGATATTTGTTTAATATAGCTAGAGTATTGCTGAACATTAGTTATGAAACATGTGGCAAATGGTGTTTAAGCTCAGCGGTAAACTTCTAGTTATTTAAGTAACACTGCATGTTACGTATGCTTTCAAATGTGAATACCTCAATATCAATAAGATGGCAGCGAAAGGATTGGAGTTTTACTGCTGTGAATGACAGAGTCAAGGGCTTGGGGTCATTACATGTACATGTGTAGGTTAATGATGCATTACTTGTAAGATGATGATGATGCCATTCCTCAGTGCATGCAAGACTCCATTGAGATGTTTACAGTACCTTGATTTCTGTCCTCAGACTCCTCATTTGAACCTTTCCTCTTGCCTATAACTGCCTTTGGCTTGGACTTTGTGACAGTCCTACCGGTTGACCCAACCAAATCCTCTGATGTTAAGTCTTCATCATCAATTCCTTTGCTAAATTGATCCCATCTTGGGGGACTTGAAGAGCCAGCATCAGCCGTCAAGACGCTTTCTCCCTCAGAATCAGTTTGTTGAAGATCACCTCTCATCTCTTTGCTAAGAATATCATCCTCTGGACTCTTCCCAGGACTCTTATAGTTGGAAAGCATCATTCTCCCGTACTCATTCTTGTCTGACTGTACCTCCTTTTCCTCTTTACTCTGATCTCCCTTTTCTTCCTCTTTCTCTTCTACACTGATTTCTCCGTAGTCACCTCGCATCTGGTCACCATGCTCTCTGACTTCCAACTCAGTCTCAATACGCCTCTCTCTCCTCTTCCTCCCCAAGACTCTCTCCTTCTCTTTATCTGGTATGGAAGCGGTGATGCGCTGCTGTTCAAATAACATCCAGTCGATCTCTATCTTCCGCGGGCTGTAGTTCAAGTCTCCGAGAGGTTGTACCTTCTCTGCTCGATCCAAGTCATTGCCCTCTTCATCCGTCTTGTCTCCTTTGCGATGCGTGGCTTCTGAGCGCTTCCTGGATTCTTCATCTGATTTGTCATCTTCTGTGGTGTCGTCTGAGCGTTTCATTTGATGTTCCCGGGCACTGAAAATACCACCCAGAAAATCTTCCTCGTCATTGACGACATCGTGAACCACACGCAGTCGTTTAGATTTCGGCTTAATCTTGTATGCCAGGAGTGCTTTCATCTCATCACTGAGTTCCTCTTCATTGTCTTGGGATTCATGTCTTGGGAAGGTTGATGATGGACTGTCAGCATGTGTTTTACTATCACTGACAGCCTTTGGTTGAGGTTTATCATGAGGGACTTGCTCGATGTGTTCCTCAGGCTTACCAGAGTCAGACACTTTGTCATCTGGTAAATTATGTCTAGGCTCGCTGCTGGTAACCGAAGATTCTGTACCACCAACCGACCGAGAAACATGTTTGTCCTGGGCTACATCACTAACAAAAGATTCTGTCTTAGGTTGGTCTGGTTTGCTTTGCCTAGAGCCTCCAACCACATTTTCAGAGTCTGAATCATCCCCTGGAATGGTATTCTGGCCTAGTGTTTCAGAAGTTATATGCTGTTCTATGTGAGGTTTCTTATTTGATGAAGACGTTTCTGGTAGGGGTGTAATTTTCAAGGTATATCTGTCCGAGGATGAATCACTGTCTGTGCGAACTTGTTCAGAGTGAGCTGGTAAAGTTGATATATCAGGTTCTGACACTTTGGAATGTTGAACTGTGTTGCTAGCTTGAGTTCCTTGTTCGATAGAATCCACTGAGAGGACTGTCTCAGGTGCTTTAGCCAGAGACTCCTCTCCAGAGGCTGGCTTGTTGACAGCTGCTCCACTGTTATATTTAATAGAACCACTTGATGGCTTCTCTTCCAAATCCTCAACACTTTTTCCAGTTTCAGATGCCGTGTTATCTGGGATACTTCTTACAGTTTGTGTTTCAGCTTTGGTATCTTCAGGCCTGTTTTGCTGTATTTTTGTTGGCTCGATGCTTGAATCAGGTGTGCCAACAGAAACTTTTTTAAAGTCATCTGGCTGGATTTGTTTTAGAGCCTCAGTGTTACTGATACGTGCTTCTTCAAAAACAGCCTCAGGATTTTGCTTCAGATGCTGACGACTGTTATCTACTGTTTCAGTCTCAGATTGTGTTTTGGGATTGGTGAAATCCTCGGACTTTGGAGTTATCTTGGGAGATTCTGTAGGAGGCTGTGCTTTGGAGGTTAGTTTTTCATTAGCTGCTTGACTTGTAATTGCATCCAAGTCAGTTGGAGGAACTTCTTTGGGATCGTCTCCAACTTTATCAGCTTCTGTCAATCTGGTGTCTTGAATTATTCTCCCAGTTTCTGGGGTGGTGACAACCTTAGTGCGATCTTTTGGGTTTGAAAAAGATGCTTCCACGGATGGTTCGACTTTGGAAGATAGTGGTATATCTGGTTTATCACTGGCTGTTACTATACCAGAGGGTGTATTTGTGTTAGAGCTGAGTGTGTTTGAATGTACAGGTACCGGTACTCCGTGGCTTTCCATATGATGTTTACTATCTGATTGTACGATCGTGTTTTCACTTGTATTAGATTTAGTAGATGATATAGATTTAGTAGATGAGTCTGAAAGAGTCTGTGGGCTGTTTAGAGAGTAGATATGAGTTTCTGACACATCACCAACATCATGGGCATCTTCTGGATCTACACTTGATTGCCTTTGGCTGTTGTCCTTCACTGCAGAGTCAAGATTTCTGTGTACATTAGTGTCGGTACTGGCTGGTTTTGTCTCGTCTACTACTTTGTGGTGTATTTCATTATGTTGCTGTGCGTTTGGCACTTGTTTTACCTGGGGGTCTTCATGTGGTGTGACCCCACTCTCAGCCTGATGGTATGCATCGGAGTGTTTGTTTTTGTGGGGGTCTGTTTCTGGTGTGACAACAGGGTCAACATGTGGTTTTGCACTAGGATCTGCTTTGGGATGTGTGTTCATGTGTCTGTCAGTGTTTGTCACTGTTGGTGACTGAGGGTCTGTATTTGGGTTACCTCTGTGTGGTGTAGGTGCATGTTTGTTAGTGTCTGTCACTATGTTTGCATGAGGGTCAGTAAGTGGTGTGGCCGCACTTTTTATTTTGTGGTCTGCGTCGGCATGTTCGCTGGTTCCTTTTACTGGTTGTGTATTTTGGATTGTATGTGGCGTTGCAGCACTGTCAACATTATGTGTCTCTTTGTGTCTGTCAGTATTTGTCATCTTTTGTGACCGAGTTTCTGTATGTGGCTTTGTTCCACTGTCCACTCTGGGCAGTGTATCTGTCTGTCTGTTGGGGACTGTTTTTGTACCAGGGTTTGTATGTGGAGTTGTCTCACTGTCTTTGTGGTGTGTGGTGTCTCCCTGCTTGTTGGCAACTGTAGTATGAGGGTCTGTTTGCGGTGTTGCACCTCCGTCTACCCTGAAGTGTGTATCTGTACGTTTGTCGGTGTCTGTTACTGTTTTAACCTTAGAGTCTACCTGGGGTTTTGCCTTTGTCTCTCCTTTGAAGTGTGGGTCAGGCTGTTTAGCAATGTCTTGCATGTGAGGATCTGTCTTGGGTTTTGACACTCTCTCTACCTTGTGGTGTGTGTCAGGCTGTTTGTCAGTGTCTGTTACTGTTTCAACCTTAGAGTCTGCCTGGGGTTTTGCCTTAGTCTCTTCTTTGAAGTGTGGGTCAGGCTGTTTAGCAATGTCTTGCATGTGAGGGTCTGTCTTAGGTTTTGGCACTCTCTCTACCTTGTGGTGTGTGTCAGGCTGTTTGTCAGTGTCTGTTACTGTTTCAACCTTAGAGTCTGCCTGGGGTGTTGCCTTAGTCTCTTCTTTGTAGTGTGGGTCAGGCTGTTTAGCAATGTCTTGCATGTGAGGGTCTGTCTTGGGTTTTGGCACTCTCTCTACCTTGTGCTGTGTGTCAGGCTGTTTGTTGGTGTCTGTTACTGTTTCTACCGTTGGGTCTTTACTCGGTTTTGACTCTCTGTTAGATTTCTGGACAGAGTCAGTATGTTTGTCAGCGTCTTTTACTGTTTGAAAATGATGGTCTCTCTGGTCTGTTGGTTCACTGTGAACTTTCTGATGTGGATCAGTATGTATGCCTCTATTTGTCTCGAAATGGTTCAGTTTTTCTGTGTGTGTATTTGATTTAGTGTTTTGTTTATGCTGTAAGTCTGTGGGCTTACTAGAATCTGTGGCAGGTTTCAAATGATGATCTGTATGAGCTTGTGAATTACTGTCTGGTATATTGTGTGTTTCTGTTAGTGTCACTGTGTCCATTCCTGATTTCAGATCAGGGTTGGTAAGCAGTTTTGTGTCATCTTTGTGCCCGGCTGGGTGGGGTATTGTTACTGTTTCAGCAACATTATCTTTAACAGGGACTGCACTTTCTATAAAAGGGTCTGTATGTGTGTTTTCAGTCCCATCGGGTAGCAATGTCTGAGACATACCTAGATTGTCTTGTTTGGGGTCGGGATTGTTGGCCGACGCGTGGCTTGCGGGTTGGGAAGGATCATTCTTCGATTCCTGCAGGGTCAAAAAAATGTAAACCAAGAAAAGCGGAATTTATTGCAAGGGAAGTCAGTCATCACCTTTACATGTATGAGATACATAAAGAACATTTAAATGTTGGCATTTTTTCTTTTTGATGGTCTCAGTATGAAACGTTAAATTAAACTTAAGAAACAATATTCATTAATAGCAAGAAATCAGATATTATAGAGATATCAGTTATGGAACAAATATCAGTTTTCTCTACTCAATGTTGAAGAAACAACTTCAGACTGGCTCCTTTGTGCCGATTTGAAATTGTGATTAATAAAGTTTTTAGGTTTAATAAATTCATATCATGATATTGACCAATTCTCAACTTTAATTGAAAAATATGGTGAATTACAATCTATCAACAATGAACAAGGGGCTGGACTGGTATGGAATGATTTACAAATGTATGAGATACACAATGACACACATTAAAGCACCACTATCACAGTGATCAAACGAAGCATTCTTAAGATGAATATTCTTCTTTGCAATACATTACCTCGATGTGGATTCCCACTTTGATTGTGGGATTGTTGTTAAAAACCTCCTCCTCCATCACAACATCTTGGTTGAGAAAACCTCGCTTTGCAGGCTCACTGGATGACTGTTTAAAAAAAAAAAACATTCTTACAACCCCGAATAAATATACAATAATTGGACAACATTTTACAAGCTGCTTTGACGCGATTTTACCGCGATTCTACCGTGATAGGTCAATTATATCATATCAACCATTTTAATCATTTTTAAACAGTAACAAGCATTACTGCATGTCAATAATCTGAATTATACTGATTAACCCTTGCCGCTCTTAATAAAACAAAATCAATGAGTGGGCCTGGATTTTGTTGATCTATTAGTTCTAATCTGTTGCATCCAGCATGATGATCATTTGGCTATAATAATTTCTTGGAATTTTTCGGTGTCGGACTTACATTTTGGACAATTCAACAGTGTGCATAATAAAGGTTAGAATCAAAAAGTGTATTTTGATTTGGATTATACGTATTTGTTACTACAATGATTTGAAAAAGAAATTATTCATCCATTTTTTTTTTGCCGTAGTAGAAATTTCCTGGAAACACAATGGTGGCGGAATGTACTCAGACATATTGATTTTTCGGTGTACTTATTCATTTTTTCAGTTAAACCTAACAGCTGTACCGTTGAACATTGTTAGATAATACAATATTTCAATAAAATACAGATAATAAGCTTGAAAATGATTTACATTTGTGGCATTTTGACTTTTATAAATATTTTAATTGAGGTTTATAATTCCATGGAGTTTACTTCAGCAACTAGTCTGGCACCTTGTTGAAATGAACAGAATACAACAGCAATGTGTGCAGTCTGCTGAATACAACACAGTACATCAGCCGTAACAAATGAACAAAAAAATACCCAGATGATAAGGCCCAGTTAAAACAATTGTTTCTCATCCAGACTTTTTGAAAAATGGGAGGAGGCCCCTCTTTTTTTCTTTTCTTTTTTCCAAGATGGCAAATTTTCCAAGGTGGATTCTTCCAGTTTCTTGACTCTTTTGCTGTTACTTTTACATGTACAACCGGTATGTCCAAATGAGCCATCATGCCTTATAAACAGATTTCTATACTTCCATACATAGCTGCAAATTTGCTGGAAGAACATAAAAATACTAAAATACATTGCAAATGATTGATTTAAAAAAGTAAAGCTAGGCGGCCGTGAATAAAGAAAGCGGGCAGGCATGAGAAAGTAGTTTTTTTTCACTTGGCCTAACAATCCAATAGAAACTGCCTACCTTTGGGTCTTATAGAGTACCGAGGTGAATACATCACGCGCACAATTATGTGTGTAAAAGACATTAGCACGGGATTCAGCTCGTGAACCAACACGCGTGCGTACTCCATTCGTTTGCACTACACTTCCCGGTTCAAAATGATGTCACACTTCGGTACTCTATTGCATTTAGAACTGGTAAGGGTTGGCTCTTCCTAGATTAAATGTTCTTTCCAAATAATGAAACACTTACCGTTCCATACCAAAGTCCTCCTGATTCTTCAGTGTCCTCTTTACCATATATGGTGATGGTGCTGTCTTTCTTAAAAGAGATGAATTTGGGGTTCTGGTGGTCAACATCTTGCACTGCTCGGACTTTTGATATTGGAGCTGTGAGTGAGAAAAAAACAAAAACAGTTAAAGAAAAATAGGGCTTTCCATTATTTTCGCAAGTTTTTCCCTTTTCTTTTAGACAGAATCATTACCTGGAATCTTGTTGCCCTGGAGCTTACATTGACCTTCAAAGTCTGTAGTTAGAGCTGTTCCAGGAATCTCAAAAACTATGTACTGATGTTTAAGTGTCCCAAACCTAATCAACCACTTAATGATGGCCAGTTGCAAAACTTGAAATTTGAGTCAATAAAATGATTATGAGACAGAGGTATAATTTTGCCAGAAAATCCCTTTCCAACAAACCCCATATGTTTTCCTCATTTGCTGTGGTTAATAAAACCCTTTTTTTCCCTATCTAGCATCTAGATTATAGACACTTTGGAAGATAGACTGCAACAGTAAAAGTTGTACTGAAGCAAAGTGCACTAAAAAGAGATTTTGTGCAGTGCAAATTGTCCAATTCAGTGCAACATAACCTGCATATTGCAAGTGACTCTGTCATTGTCTGTACACAGGGTAACAGGTGACTCTCTGTCATTTGCTTCCTCTGTCACTTGCCTCTGTCTCTTGCAGTGACTCTCTGTCACTGTAAGTGACGCTCTGTCTGTACACATAGTAGCAAGTAAATCTCTGTCACTTGCTACCTCCATCACTTGCTACCTCTGTCACTTGCAGTGAGTCTCTGTCACTTGCTACCTCCGTCACTTGCTACTTGTCACTTGCAGTGACTCTCTGCCTACAAGTGACTCTCTGTCATTGTCTGTACACATGGTAGCCCCAGAAATGTGTCTTAAATACTGGAGTTCTGCCGTATTAAGAGCCATACACAAGACAGTTCTTTCCCTTCATAGTCATTATTAAAGCACTTACTTGGCTAGTAAGTGGGGAAAATCAAAACTGTAAAGGTGCACGAGCCATGACCTTTAGAAAAGTTCTGCAGTCATTTCCAGACAAACTCTCTCAAAGTCCAAATTTCCACTGACACCTACAGGATAACTAGAAGTCTAGAGGTATGGAATTCAAGTTTTCCTGATCATTAAAACATCTACGTAGCTTTCATAGCAATTATCAAGTGAAAAAAAGCCGAGTTGGTTACGGACCGAGATGGTTACGGACCGAGTTGGTCACGGACCAAGTTGACTCGGACCGAGTTGGTCACGGACCGAGTTGACCTGAAAACGAGTAGGCCTATGCTCAGACAGGGCTCTGGAGTGCTCTGAAAGGTGCAAGGCCCACTTTACTCACAGTTTAGCCAGCAAATTTCTCAAAAAATTCCACTGGGGCAAAATGTCCTCAGTATTTCACCAACCAAGTTTGCAAACTCAAATCAATTTTTAAAGGAGACTTTTCTTCAATATTTTGCACATGAGAGGGAAGTCAAGTGATTTAAAAATGGGGCTAAATACTACATGTAGACTGGTACATGTCCAACCATGGTTCAACTATTTGAAAAGACTGACCTCTTTTCAGTGTCAATAGTCTGGTGGCTTGACTATGGAGAAATGTGTAGTAAATTGAGACTAGTTCCCGCTTCATGCCACATGTTTCTTTAATTCTTTGGCATGGTTGATTGATGCAGTACTGAAGCTGTGTTGGACTGGTTGTTTTAGGCGCCAGTCTATTTTCTTGTTTTGCATGTTTTCAATACCTTAAGTTTTGGGACTCTCATACACAGTATTGAGAGTCCCAAATTTTGGGACTAACCTATGCTAAGTTCTAAAGCAAAAATAAGGCAGTGGATATTTTGCCGGAGACGGCAAACCTTTAGTAAACGTTAGTTTGCCGGATATGCACTGAACATGCACAGTTACTGTTTTTTTGTACTTAAACATTTTCCGGTGACAAATTTTAGTCTGGCTCCATGCCAATATTATCGTTGTGACCTCGTATTCACAAGATGGGATTCAGACTATTTTATAATTTCGGACTTTATTTCCCTTTTAAAAAAAATCCTCCAGAGCCATAAATCTGAAAAAGAAAATGTAATACTCTACAATAAAATGTTTGAGACATGTTAAAATAATAAAAGAAGAATATTCTTATTTATTTGGGGATGGGGAAAAAAAACTTTAAAATGTGGCGGGGATCGGGATCGAACCCGAGTCATCCTGCTCACCAGAGCTTTTGCTTAACCACTACACCAAACGTGCTACACAACTTTTGGTGGGAATTTAATACAACTTATAATTCAGCCCTATCTTTAAGAGTACAGAGCCCTCTGTTGATATGGATTGCCGCCGTCAAACTTTTAGTAAACGTTAGTTTGCCGTCATTACCTCCGGCAAAATATCCACTATCCAAAAATAGTACTAGTAGGCCACAAACTAAGCCTAGGCCTAAATGTAAAAATCAATATTTGACAAAGTTCTACATGTTTTTGTACATGGTGGAAGTGTGGCCTTTATTTACGGAGGTAGTTCAGTAAATTGCAGGGTTCTCCCCAGGATTTTTTCAAACCTGTGGGGGAAGTTTCGTTGTGATTCACCAACCTGCGAAGCCACGGCGTGGGGTTCGGGGCCCGCTTAAGGGCCCCGAAAAATTTTGAACTTTAGAGGCTCTCTGGTGCATTTTAGAGCAAATCTGGGGAGTCTTTAAGGAAGATTTTTCCTTAAAATTTAGAGGAGATCTTGTGATATTTTTTGTAATTAGAGAAAAAAAATATCAACGTTTTTAACTTAAAAAAAAAATCAACATTTCAAAACCTGTGTTAAACCTTCTTGATCTAGAAAGTATGGATTATATTTACAAGCAAGTTTCAAATTAAGAAATTAAGGTGAAGAAAAAAATCACTTTTGCTTCCGACTACATGGCTTTCAAAATAGCGTCGGTAGGTCGGAAAAATTATTTCGCCATTTTTTGGGGCTGCTGATTGAATCATGGAGGAATAAAAACACATGATTGAATGGAGCATATTGAACAAGGAATCATGTAGTTTTGTGCCTGGATTATTTTCCTTTGCACCACGAAAATTATCAAGACTGACCATCAGAAGTGATTAAAACTTGCCTCACCTAATTAAAAATATATTTGAGGAGGTTGATTCCACTATGCTTAACGTACATCGATCACGGCCCCTGGCACTGCCAACATTCAGTCTGGCCGGCCGTACATCGCGCAGTATCAGTGTGCATTACTGCACTGTGTACGGCCCTACTGCTTCTAAGAAGCACGCTACGATGTTTCGCCACAAGTTCGAGCTTTGCAATCTCGTCATTTTAATGGAAAATACATACACAGAAAATAAAGATCACGTTCTGTGAATTAATTTGCAGAAATTCTCTTTCTCCATCGATGTTTGTTTGGTGTTTTTACGATCCAACTTCGGCCGACATCATCATCATGTATGCACGCACGAGGCAGTAGTCACTGGTTCCGGTCCTTCATCATAGCATTGATACTGTTAGCACGCGAAGGGAACCAGTGTACCGTGCTGTATGCGCTATATAGCTGGCGGTTGACGCGAAAGACCCGTCATCGTGTGCATTTTGATCACGCATGCATCAGAAATGCGGGATTTTTGTCAAGATTTTGCATGTCAAGATGAAATAATGGTGTATGAAACGATTATGTTGTGCATTTTAATGGCTTGTATAATAATTATATTGTGCGTATCGGGGGCTGAAAAATGTGATCGGCATTTTTGTCGGCGTATCGGGCCGCAATTCCAGCGTATCGGGCCGATACGCACGTTTGTACGTGGGGAGAACCCTGAATTGGCCACATTTATGGGGCTAAACCTAAGGAAGGTCAGGAAAATCGTAATTTCTACCCCGCCGTAGACTGCAGAACTAGGCTAGGGCTAGGCCTACTACAGAACTCGTAAAAAATAGACATGATAGAGGTGTCCTAAAAATAAGGATTACCGTAATCATGGTAATTTTTTCCTTTAATTAAATTACTATGAATTTTTACTGAGAAACCACTTTTCAGATTTTCAGATCAGACCCATAGGGTTTGAGCACAAAGGGTGACCAGGTGACAGTGATGGCCACGGGCAGTGGCACTGCTCATGCTGCTGAATCTTTCCCTTACCACTTTTGCACACACAATTTAATGTTATTGTTAAGAGTTGTTTACATTTACGGTAAAAGAAGAACTTACTGCTGCACTTGTCGTCTACACACAGTTTATACCGTTGACTCATTTCTAAATGCACTAAAGTCGCGCTACAAAATACTAAAAACAAGACGATGAAAGACTCCATGGCGGTCGCCATTTTGAACACGTCGGCATTACACTTTCGAGATCTCGCGAGAGCCTGCGAGATCCTGAAAAATAAATAGGTCAAGTCTGATCTAGTCACTGCCTCAACGCACATATGTGTTTGATCACGATACTCACGCGTGTACGTGTACAATGCTTTTTTTTTTCTTTACCGGTGCCAGACTATTCTCATCGATGAATGAATGAATTTCGGCGAAAACACAGTTGCGTAGTTTCGAGAAATTTGGCGAGATAAGAAATTTACACAGATCAGTTTAGTAAAGACTCGCGACAGACAGTGAATGGCGGTCAAGCCAAATGTGGGAGTGGGATTCTAGTTTCTTTTTAGAGATAGTGTCCTCTGCCATCTAAACCGTAAACGAGCTGACCGAGCTCGGTCGAGAACGATTTGGATTACCGTGCGTGTGTGTGGCCGTCCGCCGTGGGAACAAACGTCAACGAACTTGGTTGTGTTTTTGCGCGCTCTCTGTGTAGTGTGGAGCGTTCACTTTGATGTGGTCACCGTGTGAACCAAACGTGCTTGGAAAGTACAATGGAGCTTTCTGATTGATGTAAACAAAATGATAACTGTTGTTGCGGTTGAAAGAAAGAACATAACTGCGTAGAGTGCAACTTTGCAAGATTACATTGGAATAGTTGCTAACAACTTTAACATGCCTTTGTTGTAAGTACTTCCTCCTTTTTGTTCTTCCTTGACATGCTTGTTAAAAAAAATTGCATCAGACAGAATGTGCAACTATAAACTGTCAATTCATGCAAATGCTTTCTGCATTTCTGTATTGCTTGTATGTGCACTTTTATTTCATCAGAGGATCACACTGCCAGTGCCGGGTTGGGTAATCTTTATTAGGCATGTTAGGACACCTCTATTTTTACAAGTTTTATTCAAAACTGACTTTTGCAGATGACTGTCCAGCAGTATATGTACTACTTAGTACTAGTACTAGGGTGACTTTAATTTAAAGCAGTCTTTTTTATTTCAGATAAGCTCATGTTAGTTGTAATTTTGAAAGCACTTTCAAAGAAAATGTGGCTTGCCTACCTTTTTTTGGCAGTTCACCATCTTGCTTTTTAAATATATTTTCGGGTTGTCATCGTCAACGGTCGTCTTTAACCCCTCATAAATAGTCATAAATCAAAGCCCTGCCTTCTTTCTACAAAATTAAACCGACTGATATTCAAAAAGGTGTCATTGCCAACTGTTCAAATGTGTCAAGAAATATCAGAATGTCACTTTTGAGTAGTCCGCTGTGTTGGTGAGTCTTTTAACCTTATATAGGACCAGGGTCCTAAAGGTAAGGATTTATACCCCGCATTGGTTATTTAATAAATTAACTGGATACAAATTGAAACATAATGGGAAATATTTTTGAAAAATTTCTTTTGCTTACCTTGTACCTCAGAGAGTAATCTTTCATATGAGAACTGTAAGTGTAAGGAATATGTTGACAAAGTCTACTTTTTCAAGATGGCCGCCATTTTTTTTTTTAAATGGCCACCATTGCATTGGACTCAAGAAATGACATAACAGCCGTAAATGGGCTAGATCTGTAGATGCAACACTAAATATGTTTTTTTTTTATTATTTCGCCTTAAGCCGGACCTTGTGATGTTTATGCTCCGTAGACTTTGTACACAACCTCTGAAGTGGCGTCAGGTTGCAACATTCTTTCCAATTGGGGCCTAAATCATAATTGGGGCATAAATGGAATTACCGGTTACGGTATATACTTGAAATCGTCCGAACTGTTCCAGGATGTCACTGGCTCTGCCTCAACAAATTGACAGGGATTTCTAGAGGATTTTGAAGGATTGAGGTAGTGGTCACCCCTCCAAGGACCACATGCAAAAAAATGACGGATGATTTTGCAGGATTGAAGCTGTATGTTTTTTTTACATGGAGGCAGTTGGAGGATTTTGCAGGATTGAGGTTGCATCCTAGCAAAAATGCCTGGAGAGTTGGGGTTTATTTAAAGATCACTTTAATGTCAATGCAATTGCTTTTCTGAATGACAAGCATAGTCTTGTGTCCTGTGATTGTGAGGTGTGATACCAAAACTAAACGTACATGTATTCAGACGTATTGGGACTTGCAATACTGTGTAGGCCTATGGATTTATGGACAAAAATCGGTTTTTAAAAACTTTTGTTTCAGTTTACAAAATGCAAAATCTTGAACTCCAAAACAAGATGTAAATTGTGCACAGCTGCCTATACATTTATAAACTTGGCTTCATTTTTACTGGACACGTCACTGAAATTCATGGTACCGTTACGTTGCTGAAACATTCTTCATGTAGATCCCGAATGATTAATCATGAAACATTTTTGTCCACTGACGATCAAAAGTCATTAGTTGAAATTGAGCCTCAAGAAATGTCAGGCTTGGCTATGAATGTGTAAAAGGTGTCACTTCAAAGAATGACTAATCATAGAGGCTGAATTCAATCACACACGCACAATGGATGTGAATATAATGAATGTAATCACAAAGGGTTTCATGTTCTGTCAGCGTCGCTGGGACTTTAATTAACGCAGCCACTGGTGGAACGCCGATCGAGTCTTTTCTCCGTGCGCGACTCTAATGAGCGTGCTCAGAATGGGTTCTTATTAATAAACGTGACTCTGGTCATGATTGACATTGCCCGGCCAGCAAAACCCTGGCATCCTATAACCTTAGGCCTTGAACCCTGGTGATATCAGGAGTCCTTTGTCCCAGTGTAATGGAGGGAATGTATGGCCTGTGGTTTGCTTGTTGCTTCATGTTACAATGCCCGTGTCTCCTGGGGGCAAATAAAAAAAGATGAATCATTCCGTCTCACTAATTCCTATAAGGTAATAATTTTAGCTTAGTTCATGGTTTAACAGTTACTGAGTTATTCTTTAGGCATTGCTCACATATGATTGTTTTTTTTTTGCATGTGAAATAGCTAAAAGTTATGAGATGAAGTAAATTGTCAGTTCTCACCGTAGACAAAGGAATGCCCATGTGATGTACCTTCATAAGAATAATGAAACCCAAATAATCTACATCTAAAGAGGACATTTAGATTTTTTTTCAGTTTCCTTTTCACCTAAATTACATGTGTTGTTAATGCCTGCCTCATGCCAGTGCCACGGTGTGAAGTGCCAGCAGGACGCTATCTACCAGTTTGCGTTGTCAGAGATAACGAGTGAGAATAATCAATCAATTAGTAATACATCACAAATCATTTCATTATTTTTCCTGTAGATAAGGGCAAACAGGTCCTGACTTGAATTAGTGATTGAGCTTTGAACAGTGTGCATCAATCATACAGTTTGGGGGAAGAAGTTTAAAAAGTAAAAAGTGCATTTTAGTATGCAGTATCCAGGCATGTATTTGTTGAGCCAGTGATTTTTGTAAACTTTAACTTTAACTAAGCAGAGGAAACTTATAATGGAAGTCACTCTAGAATTTAACATAAGAATTTTTATTTTTTAGAAGCAAATTAAATGCATAAAACATTCACAAAGTACTTTGTGTTTTAAAAGAGTTGTAGACTTGTTTACATTGAAAAAGTCATTTTAGAAGCAGTTAATGAATGGTATGAAATTCCTTTTTTTTTTCTTCCTTTTTTGAATCATTCATAGTCCTCAATAAAAACTGTAAAAGGAGAAAATGTTCTGCCTTTTTCAGCTGCATGATATACTTTACAACAGTTCTTTGTTGTTAGAGAAGAAATGGAACTTTTCATAAACCCAAATGAAAAGTGGACCTTTTTGGAAATTTCATGTTTATGGACAAAACTGGCTTTGTGTTTGTGGACAGATTGCCCCTTTCTGAGAAGTGAAATATTTCTTGTCTTAAAATGCACACTTTAACGCTTAATAGGTGTTTACGTTTACTTGTACCATGTGCTACATGTATATTGGATGGAATGCATTATTTAAACAAAGAAGACATGAGACTTGAATTCATCTACAAGTACCGGTACATGTATGTTGAAGGGGAAAAAAGATACATGTACAGTTTAATTTAAACATTGCTCCATGTCTTCCTTGTTCTTTGTTTGGAATTCTTCAACCATGGAGTAATGCAGCAGCCATCTGAAAAGCCAAGTTTTTATGGTTGTTTATTGTTGCTCTCTTCAGCTGTACTAAACATTTACACTTGCTTTGTGCTCTGATGGTTTCCTATCTGACAAAGAAGGGCCGTTTGAGTCTGTTGTGTCCAGTTTCCTGACAGGTGTGAATTGATTCTCATACATACCTTCTTATACCGTATTGCTGCAGGGAAAAAGTTACTGGTAGACCAACAAAGGGGAAAATAGGGGTCATTTAAAGTTGCCATGGATCTGAATCTTTGCAGCTGTTCAGAGCTTGAACAAAAAAAAGAAGAGACCAGTATTATGTGTATTTTTCTGTACACATTTTTTGTTGTACATAAGTGTATGTATGTAGTTCATACAAGTACATGTACATTGTAGTTTACAAGCGGAGAAGGTTGGGATTTGTCATTTTTCCATCAGCATTTGTTCATCATACACTTCAGGGATGTTTAGGATGTCTAACATCTTTGGTTTGGATCTTGCAGATGTTTCGCTGTGGTTGTCATGCTGCAGGTTTGCATTAGATAGGAAGTACATGTATATATTTTGGTAGGTTAAGAACACAGTTAAAATTTGTATTTTCACTTTCAAAGATTTGCATCAACAACTGGTGCAGAATGTGATACGTGTACTGTATGCATGTACATACATGTACACCTATTATTTTCGTACCAAAATTATTTTTTTTCAATGATGTAAGAAATTTTTTAATCAATGGTTTAATATTGCCTGATTTCTGTATGTGCCGGTATGTATGTAAAGATGTAATTCAATAGCTCCATGGTTAGTCCGAGTACAATACTACAATGCAACCCATTTACCCGTATGTGAAATTTAATACAGGATGCACTTGAAATGTACATTTGTATTACTACATGTCTATGCATGGAGGATTCCTTCCTTCATGGTCTATGGTTGCATTTATTTTTAGATGGCTGTATAAATGTACAGTTAGCGTAAAAATTTCTAAATTGAAAGGATCCGAAAGGAAGAATGAAAACTCTGTTCAATATTCTGGACCTGAGTAAATAAAGAACAGTAGAACATGTCAATAACCACCAACGTGTTGTAACATGCACACAAATCAACGTCAATTCACGTATCAGTCCTTCCAAAGTGTCTGTTTTACATGTGTGGCTTTGTTAAGATTCAGATAAAACCTGCAACTCGGTATTCTCGGCGCATTGTGCAAATAATGGACTTGTGAATATTTCTGCACTTTCATTCTGGATCCTGGACCTTGGTCAAGTGGACAAAGGAGGTTGATGGTTCTTGTCACTTCACACTCTTCCCCCCCCCCCCTTCCCAATCCACCCTCCCCCCATCCCCCCCCCCCCCTGCACTAAGTGCTGTTCAGCATGCTGGGTATTACTTAGCTCAAGTGTGCAATTGATCTGCGTCCACCAAATGAAAGGTCAATGAATAAACCACTTGTAGTCGCGCTAGGAATAATAAAAAGGCAACGTTTGAAAATTCTTGTTTACACACCAGGTAGCAAAGTGATATTGTAACCTTGTTCTGTATAGTGTGTGTGTATTTTTCTGTAACTCTTTTACAAAATATTACAGAATTTTGACTACCGGTATGTGTAATA